TATATATATACAATGACTTTTTATGCATAGTTCTAATATCGTGTCACAGGCACTTTAAAACTGTAAAAACGTGCTCAGAGTTTGCTCACCTCTGTTGTCCTCAATGTTAAAATAGTCACAGGTGGGAACTGATGCCGCCCTGTCAGTCTGGCTCTCCTCCACCAGAGGACCCACTTCAGCCAAGGAGGTTGCTCCTTCACTTTCTGGCTCTGGAGCTACAGCTGCAGGGGGGCTGGGCTGACGAGGCACCTGAGCCTCATCCTCAGCACTTGGTTCTACACGCTCTGGTTCCTGCTCCGGCCTGTCCTGGTCTCGGTCCCCTCGCTCTGATGAAAGGCTTTGTGTGACCGGGGCCTGTGTGACCGGGACTGAAACAACAGGAATGGGTGCAGGAAGTGGTGCTGATGAGGGCTCCTCCCCAGCAGCTCTTGCTTCATCACTGGGGCTCTGAGAAACGGAGGGTTTGCTCTCGTTTGCCTGTCGGTGTTTCTCGTTGAGGCGTTTAAGTTTTTCAGCACAAGCAGCAAGTCTCTGTTCTTCCATCCGCCTCTCCTCCTCTTCTCTCCTGCGTCTCGCTCGCTCCACGGCTTCAGAAACGTCAGACTGCTTTTTCCGCTTCTGTCGCCAGGCATCAGAGTCCTCATCAGCGGCGGGGGCCACAGCGGCCTGTGGTTTGATTCCACGTGATGCACTGGTGCCAGCAGGGCGACTCTGGAAACAGAAATGATTAAACTGGTGAGTAAACTGTACAACATGTTAAAAATGTTACAAACTCAACGTAGGATGTGTGTAACTTCAACATGTTTTACCTGGTATTCCTGTGAAACAGCTGATTTACTGTACTGCCCTCCACTGCCAGGGGATGGAGCTCTGGGATCAGCGCTGTCAGCCCAAGAGGATTTACCACCTCCAGGCTCTTCAGAGCCCTCCTTCCAGCCCTCCTGACCATCTGATGTCCGAGACCTCATGCGCTCCACTTTACCCATCCACTCCCTGATACAAATTAATACAGTTATAATTAATAAATATATTATTATTGATGAAAAACCGACATGCAAACATCATATAAATGGTTTAAGAACAAAAATAGACAAATCTATTGGAGTTCTGTACAAAGTAAGAGAACTGTTCAATGATAAAGTACTGTTTATGTTGTATAACACTATAATTGTTCCACATTTAATTTACTGTATTGAGGTATGGGGTAAAACTTGTAAAACTATCACAAATCCTATTTTTATTTTACAGAAAAGAGCTATAAGAATTATTACTAGAAAAAATTACAGCCATCCATCAAATATATTGTTTCATGACTTGAAGTTATTAAAATTTTATGATTTGGTTGATTATAATATTTTGC